CGACATATATTAAAAACTAAAATTTTAATCAACTTCAAAAATTTGAAAATTTTAATCAACTTTATGAATAAACCAAAATGAAAGATATATTGACTACGTATATTTGGTGTTTACATAAATACAGTTAAATAGTACAATCTAATGCATTCTTCTTCTTCATAATCTTCTTTTCTTTTACTTTTTCTTTTTTCTATTAAAAATTACTATCATGTGGCATGCATATATGTGACATGATAGCAAATATTTACTTGATGATTTTATCTACTAATTTATTATGAAAATTTATATCTATTAATTGTCTCCAACAAAGAGTTTCATTTTCAATTTAAAAATATCAAGAGGCAAACGAAACATGGCATGCTTGAATAATAACTATTTTGAATATGTCCTTCAAGTACCCCACAAAGGACATCTCCACAAAGTGTTTTAACTATCAGTATTATTTTCAAATTAGCTGTGTTCTTAATACATGTCATGCTTGTACTATAGAATTTAAAACCGTAAGTATGCAAGGTTTATTTATCTTGAAAAATTAAATCATGTGTATTAAGTCTTGATTAGTAGCTTTTTATAATTATATATTCATACAAAATACATACAAATCCAATTTTTTCTAAGAGTTACTTGTGTTGGTGTGTACTATTGCTTCACTTACATATTTAATGCAATCTATACCTCTTGTGAGTGAAGAAGAAAATCTAATACAAACATCCATAGCTGCATGAAACTAGTTTCACCTCATTGCTATATATATATATATATATATATATATTTTTCATGTTTTTCTTTTCTTTTCTTTTTTTTTAAAACTATTTTCTACTCAAGTTTCTACTTTTTAAAGAAATAATCCCTTCAACTTGTAAATAAGCTTATTTCTTTGATGCACAAAATCTCTTCTCAAATTGAATTTTGCATTCTTGGCACTTCATTGGAGGTCACTTCTTAACTTCAACTCTATAATATTAATTTCTAAATGAAACAAGGGAAAAAAAAAATGATTAATCGTAGTAATGTCTTTTTGTTAGTGGAGGAACTCATTCATGTTTGTAAGGAAAGATAATAATTTTTAGGATAAATACAAAGTTAATGGTATTTAGTAATGGTATTATAGCAAAATAAGTGGTAGTAGAATTGTTAATAATAGTTGTGGTGGTAGTAGTGGAAATGGTAAAGGAAGACCAAGAGTCTCATCCCACAACTCTTCTACTACTACTTCTCCACATCAATTAATAGCGGTGACATTGGAGTTAGATGGGTACTTTATTACTTATTTATTAACTCACTTATTTATTTATCTTTGAGGATTGTCATCATAGAAAAACACAAATACATCATCAAAAATGCACATCAATATTATGCAACACATATTACAACAAGTTAAAAATCATTGCAATGTTGTTTGTACTTAACTTGTTAATTATTTTGCAGTAACTTTTGTTTTTTTTTTTTTGGATCCAAATGCATTTTTTTTTCTTTTCATAGAACCGGGAAATCTATTACAAGATTTTTAACAAACTCTAATGTAACTTGAAATTGAATTTTCTTTACAATTTTAATATATCCAATTTTCTAAATCACAATTCTTTTATTTAACTTCTTAATTACTTTCAATCATTATCAAATTCATTTATTTACAACCTTATTTATCTATTCACTAGTTAACGGTCAATTCACAATAATTTGAAAAACAAATTATCACTTCTTGTATGCCACAAAATTGAGTATTCATTAAGAAAATTCAAAATTCAAAAAGGAAAAATGGAGTAAAATAAATGCAGTAACAGGCACCTTACTCTTTAAGGTCCATTACTTTTCAAACATCTTTTAATTATTTTACATCGTGACTTTTAGGCTTTTCATACAAACCTCAGTTAAATAAAAATGTAAATTAATAAAACTTTCTACCAATTACTAATGACTGAATGATATTAAATTTGAAAAATATATGTTTTCCGTCCTTTTATTTCTAATTATTTCTCTCTACCAATGTGCTACAAGGTTTAGATGCCCCTGCTAAATTCACCACATCAGTTAGTTTTTTTTATTTTTTTTATTTTTATTTTTATTTTTAATCCTTCGGTAATTTCGTATCTTTTTACACTTCCTTTAGAAAAGTTGTCTAAATAAAAAGGCTACCAAACATGTTACATGTCTTTATTAATTACTAAAATAGTATCAGCAGCAATAATTAAACAGTTGTATTGTAACGGTACAAAACCTCCATGTCTAAGATAATATCTGATTAATCCTATATATATATATATATATTTATATGTGTGTGTGTGTGTCTGTGTGTGTCTCTCTCTCTATGTGTGTGAATATATATATATATATATATATATATATTTTAAATAAAACTATTCTTAACCTATCAACTTTATAACTTATTAAGATAAATTTTAATCAGACTTTTATGTTAGATTTAACTTCAATATAACATATGTTGATATTGTTATAAAAGCATATATAATTTTAAATTTTAAATTTGATGAATAAAATATAAATATAAAACTATTTTTATTTTTTTTAAAAAATATTTATGATTTTTATAACAAAGATCACGAGTTTAACTTCAAAAAAAAAAAAATCTTAATTTTACTAGTTTTATTATTATATTTCAGTAGTTTCATTAAACCCATGTTTAAAGATTTAGGTCATATAGTCAAATCCATCATGTATAAAATCCTTATTACATATTATTTACATCTTTAGTGTGTACTCTTATTCTGATTCTTTTATTGATTCAGTTTGCATGCCATATCAAAAACCAAACCAAAGAGAAGACAACGTTTTTTAAAATTTGTAAATTTATAATGAAAATAATTAATATGACTATTGTAAAAAACATGTGGAATTTTTTAAACTTAGAATTGAGTATTCAATAAATTTATATTAATATATATATATATATATATATATATATTAGTATTTATATAAATATTTATATTAATATTATATATCTTAATATTAATTTATTGAATACTCAATTCTAAGTTTAAATATTTCAATAAATTCAATAATATTTTCATTAATCTTAAAATACATAAATAAGTAATTGAAAATGAACTTTAATAAAGATCACATTTTTAAAATTTCAAATAATTTTTAACATACAATATTGATAATCAAACCACTTATTTGTGGTTTATTTATTATAAAATTCAATTAGTGATTTTAGAGATAAAAACTAAAATTTTAAATGCACTTAAATATTAATTAGAAGATCTTTAGTAAATATATTTCCAAACATCTCTTTTACAATTGATAATATTTGTATAAACTTTCAGAAGTTTAGGTGAGAAAATAATTAACACTAAAAAGGTTATACAAAATCAATGCAATTTTAATTCAATGATACTTGCTTTACGGTTTTTATATTTGACTTTATTTTTTATGATTCTTTTAATTTATATGAGGATCTTAAATTGTTTCCAATATATGCTCCTATTTTGCTTTTAATTTATAGGTTCTTCTAATCTTAAAATGAACTCAAGAATTAATTAATTATATGTTTCATATGCATCTAAATATTCTACAGTGAACGAAGAAATCATTTATGTTTATTCAAAACATAAATATATAATTAAGTGATTTGTATTTAATTACTAAAATTCAATTTTGTCAAAGTATCTAAGTCATTGGCGCTTACTTTATAATATATAAAATTTAATAACAAACTATATTTTATTTTTCAAATTTTTATTTTTTATTTTCTTATATATATATATATATATATATATGTGTGTGTGTGTGTGTGTCACCTAAATATTTGGAAGCATTTTATTCTGTTTTATTATAAGTTTTAAAAAGTAAAATTTACAATGATCAAATATACTCATTGCAAATATTTTTAATTATTTTGATTTTTTCCTTTTTTATTTGATATTTGGTTTTGTAGTCTTTAAGATTGTAAAAGCTTTATTTGATATTCTTTTAGTAGCTATATATTATTATTTTATAATTACAGATATATACAATTGATGGCAAAAAATACAAATTTGACTACTAGAGTAATATTTTGTTGGTTGAAATGTTACATATCTTTATGTCAAAAAAATAATATTTTTTTGTTGAATGATAATTGATTTTATGAAAAGGCCAAAAAAATATGTTTTATTTTAAAATTCCTTTCTTTAAATTTAATTTTGTGTGTGTCTAAAATTGTTCGTTTATAATGGAATGGTAAAGATGCAATAGCCCTACATGTTTTTTTAGATCTTTAAATTTTTCTTTTTCCCTTTTGAAAATAGATTTAGAACTATCTTAGAAAATACTAATAAAAAAGGAGTAGTCCTAAAATTTAAAAAAAAATTAAGAGAATTGGCCTGGAATTTTTCGTTTATAAAAGTATAATTCAGAAGTTATGTATTTTTTTTATTTTATTTTATCTTTTAAACCTTTTGGGTTTAATAATAGTAAATATCACAAATATTTATATTACTTAATACGTGTGTGTGTGTGTGTGTATATATATATATATATATATATATATAAACCCAAACCATGTGCCTGTATTATCTTCAGTATTTTTTTTAAAAATAGTAATAAAGCTTTTAAAAATTGTTTCTAGAATCATTGCAAAAATCATTAAAATACAAACACTGATTAGATTCAAATGACCAATTAATTCAATGTAACAGATTAGATGAACCTAAAAGGAATAGAATTTTTTTACAAGCCTTTTCATACAATGAGAACGATTTAATGCAGATAAATGAGAGTATTATAATCTTTAAAGTAATAAAGTTGTGATTGTTGAGAAAGACTACAAATTCCAAGATGTGGAAACACAAATCAATGTCTTATAGGCAATAAGGATTGACCATTATGTACATATACACAATGTATATATATATATATAGACACATCACACATTCAATTTATCTTGTGCAAAAAACAATATATCAAATTCAATGAATACATTAGGAACTATAACTCACACCCAAACCTTAGGATCCATGCATTGTTAAAGATCTGCACAGTGTTGGTGGAAAAGAGAATCGTACTTAATCAGGCAACTTTTAGTTGTATGCATATAAAGTTTGTAGTATTAAAAACAGCTGAATCCTTAGATGTACCAAAATATTCTGAGACAGTATGTGCGAAACTAATATACTGCATTTTAAGACACACTTGAAGTCATCTAAAACGTATAAAATACAACGGGCCATAAGAAAAGCAAGTAGAAAAGCCACCAGAACTACTCTAGCTTTGACGCCCTTCGGTGTCAAAGATGTCTGGACCTGAGCAGTGTGACCCCAACAGTCCACCCGTAAAAACTCGTTTTTAATGATCCCTACATACAATCAGTGAATTGGGCGTATTGTTAAATGTCAGTAAAACAAACAATTGTTTTGTTAAAATATGAAAAAGCTCGGCTTCTGTACAGATGCTAGGATACATGTATGCCGACAGAGTACTGCTTGTCGTGGACAGGAAACTGAAAAATATGTATTGCTGCATCATCAATGCATTCAACATGTTAGTAAAAGTAAAGAAATCCACTTACCTGCGCTGAGGTCCTGAAAGAAGAAGATAGCTGACGCCTTCAGGGACAGTGAAGCATTTTACACTTACTGTGAAGTAGGGACGTATAAAAGACAATTCGAAGTTGTTGAAAGTGGGGACGTCAGAAAGGATGAAGGATATACAATGGAAATTGCTCCAGAGGTGACAAGATGAACCTCAATCATCCTTCCCGGAAGGTGTAGAACCAAGCCAAGGTAACCATTCGGATAAACTCCTATCAAACAACATACACATATACTTCAAATCATAACCTCGAAATTAAGACCAGAAAGTGTTATGTACAGAACACAAAATTGTGAGTATTCCACTCAGCAGTTTACTGTCAGAGGGAGATGCATGTTTAAAACTTGCACTTGCGATTGTCCAATTTTGATGAGTCGTCAAATTATACATGTGACAGGTTGATAGAGGTCATTTTCAGTAATTACAATAACCGGTAGTTTTCCTCAATCCACATTCTTTCGTCTTGTTCTTAACGAAGACGAACATTCAGATAACCTGTAACCTTCACTGTTCCAAAGTTAAACCGAAGAAATTGTCTAGGTAAACGATTACGTCTAGCATGGTGGGGATTTTAATCTTCACTGATGAGCAGACACATCACCAACTTCTCACCGAGAACCTCCAGATCGCAGACGATTTCTCGTGTTATATACTTTTAAGGGCACACCTTCCTCTCCAATCGAAGGATGTGATTGCTGGGACTTTTTCTCCAACTGACTTTCTGGACGACTTTCCGGGCAGTTCTCTGCACTGTGTTCAACAACATCATAATCTGAATCTGAGTTTTCTGAGAGAAGGGCAGCTGACTCTGTTCCTGCTCCACGTCCACGCCGCCGGTGGGCAGAGCCCGTGAAATTGGGTCCAGGAGGAGGAGGGTAAAGGTCTGGACCAGCTTCACCAGCCACAGGAGGATACAGAGTAGTGCCAGCCTGAAGTGCGGCAGGAGGATGAAGTTCTTCAACATTCAACGCAGGATAACCAGCACCTCCTGGGGTATGTCCAGGAAATCTTCCTACTGGAGGTGGATGAACTTGAGTGTCACCCTACATAGACATAGAGCAAAATGCGTTCCGAGGTTTGGACATCACAGAAAACCATGATGGGAATACAGAAAACATTAAAAATATGATCTAAAAGAAATAAAAAAATAACTGAGAGCATTAAGATAGAACCAGAACCAAAAAAAGTACCTGTGGAGGATCACGTGGGGGTCCACGAGGAATTTGGGCGTTCGGACGAAAAATAGAGGCTTGACGGGCAGCTGGAGGAACCTGACGGACAACTGTACCCTGCTGAGTTCTATTTGACTGCGAGGCAACGTAAGCTAAAATCTGATAAACCTGAGCTTGAATGTAAGCTGAACCTCGTTGCCACCAGAAGAAGGCTAGATCTCCAGCTCTGGTAGTCAACTCATTCAGCTGGTGATCAATCTCCGACTCGTGCTTAACCACAAAGGGTCTTAAGAAGGATGAGTAGACATACGTTGTCCCCTGCAAAAGCCATGCCCAAAATGAGTTGTGCGGATAGTTTGCGATAATGCCAAACAAGAAACAATCATCAAACTTTCAGAGGAAGATGAACTCAGAACTAATATCAACGAAGAAATACTCGGAACAAAACCGTATAAATGAGAGGCTCACAACTAAACATCAAAATTACTAGGATTGTGAGCCGTCAAACTGCTCAGTGATAAAGTATCAATTTTTAATGTCTTATCTGATACGCCAATGTTACTCAAGGCGTCGCCACAACTCATAAAAAGAAAGGAAAAGCTGCTGTACAGTACCAGTGTCTTTGGATACCAAAGATAAATGATGAAAGCCAGTTTTGCTTCATTATACATTGGCACCCTGAAACAGCAAAATCCATGAATTTGAAGATACAAATATTATTAAGAATGAATTCAAGCGCTTAACGAAGTGAATCACTAGACTGACATGTGCGGAATAGATTGTAACTATTCACTTCTTCGAGACTCTTATTGCAATTGCATTTCATGAGTATGTACCAATTCCATCGAACGGCAACTTTGAAGTGAATAATCGTACCAAGAAACAAAAATATCTCCCACACGTTCGAACACTGTAAGAGATGCAATTATAATCCTGCGAAGCACGAATATAATTCTGGTCAACTGCAGTCCCCTGGAAGAAAAAGGACCATCGGATGAACATGTATTTATGACAATATCGATCCCATCCAATACCAACAACCTCAATTCAGATCCACGGGATCAAGGACAACATAGACATATGCCGAAGTTGCCAAGATTGTTAGAGCTATACACCTACAGGAACACGATCTCAAACCACACAGTTTCACGAAATGCGTAACTTGACTTGGAAGTTAGATATGCATCTCATCTTAATAGAGTGATTTGATTTCTACTGAGCAGCAATTGTAAGTTAAATTAGATCATTTAGAATTTCTGGCCCACGAACCGCACCTAATTTGCGTCTCATGGGCAGCCAACTGTTAAGAATTCAGAGGATATCAGTTGTTGCGATTGCCGTTGCTTTCAGTGCATAGCCACTGGGAACTTAGACTCTTTCACTTCCCGAGTTTAGCAAGTACGTCTTTCTTAGGATTTAAGTACTATTAATTTGAAAGTATAGCTGCATGATGCGAAACTATCACATACGGGGTGGGTTTAATCTTAGATTCAAAACGTTCACTAGACGCTAATAATCCTGCAAATTAAAGCAACTATGGGTAATAGCCAAACATTGCTATAGTCCAGTTTATTAAACAAGCCCCACACACCAGAAAGGCCCCGCAGAGACAGCACAAGAATAAACGACCAAGCACTTTTCAGTGTGAAGAGTAGTATGAACTTCAGGCCTACTACAGTCCATATACTCTTCACAGGGAAATCCAAACGTGTTCAAGAAGCAAAGGTTTCCCCGGCGAGCGTGGTGATACATGTCTTCTGAGACCTCAGAGTCTGAAAGGAAGGTTCAGTTACCAAAGCAATCACCAGATAATTTATTTGCTGGACGTAGGGAAAGGAAGAACTCCCAAGAATCACCACCTCTATCTACAGTCGAACAGCAACGATCTTTAGACAAGCATCTAACACAAGTATTGACGTTTAGCAATGAGGGAAACCATACCAGTACTGACACCAAAATCTCAGGTGCTCCAAATCGGGTCTATTCCTCTCTACAACTTTGAAGCATTCATACGCCGGATACACGTAGCCAAGTAACATTCTGCCACATCACAAGGAAAAGATGTTATACAAAGCAATAAAAATAACGCGCTGGCACTCAAAATTATTTAACTAACACCTACGTGTAAAAACGACCTGATGACAACAAAATGCTGTTACTCACGCGCAAAGTTATAGTATACAACTGAGCTATCCTTCACACAATTTTCTGGAACATTAATACGCATAATGCATGGTCGAACGACTGAAAAGCCAAAACCTGCACATGCTTGACGGCAATTTCATTGCAGTTACAAAAGGAAAGAGGAAAATGAGTACTTACATAACTCCCCTGGTAATGAAAGATCCCATCATCTTGAAAAGCTGGATGCTTCTTGATCTATTCCTCAGAATTCTCAAAAATCAAGGCACTTCGCCTGCACCCCAAATCACCTTAACGGTATCATCAACAATTTCCGCGACATGGAACACACAACACAAATGTCATTCCCTTTGATCTGGAAAAGACTTAGGCCAATGCCCCCTGTCGATCGGTCGACGGAGTTCAAAGTAACCTTCTCCAGGAAGTTGTTCTTTATGTTGTAATTCGTCACATAATGTTTTTGAACGTCTCTCAAGACATGCTGTGACTGCGATCCACAATAGCACCACCCGTTTTAAGCAGTGGTACTACACGCAGAAACCTCCTTGGCATCCACTTCGTAAGTGATCTTGTCAGCCCTGTCGCGCCTCTCAAAAACCCCGCCGCCCCACACTCCTAGCGCTCCTCCTACACAAATGCTTCTCCAAAAATCCCACAACACAGAAGCCTCCAAACCCCGCAGCCTCGTCAAACCCAACCCCGAGACGAAAACCCTAAAACCCTCATCTCCACCCACACACCTCCACAATTCACCACGACTATCTCACAAACCCAACGCTAAACCCCCTTCACTCCACCCCCTCCCCCTCGAAATTCCTCACTGCGCTACCACACCCCTAATGACACACGCAACAATCCCAATATAGAAGTCGGCAACGCAATGCACGCAACGCCATTCCATTCGATCCACCCAGCCAGACACGACCGCAAACTGCCTCGTGTGACACACACAACCCTACGAAACGCCCCCTCGCAAGCCATAAAAAGGTTTGGGTAAAATCGTCCGCAACCATGTCAGGTCATGGGCGAGGGTGCAGGACTATGCATGATGCAATCAATCAATGTGCGGGGAAAGGAGGGAAGATTTTCCGCTTTCCTTGGTCGGGTGGAGTCAAAGCCATCGTCGGTTGCATTCCAAGTGTAGGCGTTTCATTGGAAACTTGGGGGTAAATCAAATCCGCGAGAGTCGTCGCTTTTTCAAAGGCGATTGCAGCATCTTCACGGAAAAGGAAGGAGTGAGGGATTGAGGGTGATTGAGCCTCCTCTCGCTCTCGTTATTTTTCGGGTGCGCTCGTCCGTCGCTCGTGGGCTGGTGATGCGTCGTCGCCGCGTCGGTGCGGTGCGGTGCTCCTCCGAAGCGTGACCCGTAGCGAGTTTTTCGACCTTAGTGTGATTTTCGACTGTCTTCGTGGTCCAGGGAGGTCGGTGTAGGTTTGGCAGGTAGTGCAATCACAAGAGCTTCGCTATCAGAACCACAAGCTTCTATCGCTTTGGCTTCACAGCATTGCTGTGAAAGTGGAACTGGGTGGGTGGGTCTTTGTTATGGTGTCCTCTCAAGTGTGTGTGTGTGTGTGAGTGTATGTATGTATGTTAGTATATTTTGGTATATAAAATTTTACTTTTATTTTTCAACTTAAATTTAGACTAGTATGTTTTGGATTTTGTTGTTTTTAAAATTAGAATTTGTTTTTGGGGTTTTGAATTCAAGAAAACTTGTGTGAAATTAAAGAGTAAATGGAGGATGTGAAGTGGGTTTTCGAATGTGTGCTATTGTTTCTTGATATGTGTGCATAAGAGTTTCTCAGAACTGTTTTTATTTGAACGGAGATTGAATTAGGTTTTGTTTTTGACTTGATGTTATATGAATGTTGTAAAGGTGGTTGGTTTCACGATTGTTATATGTTGTATAGTTCTGTGTAGTAATACTTTACCTGTTATTCTAAATTTCTTAATATTCCAAATTATTGACAAATGATAATGCATTTGAAGAACGTTGTTCATTTGTTTTTGTAAGATTGAACACATGATTATGATATATATATATATATAAATTGAAAAAAATTAAATAAATGTTATTACAAAACTAGCATTTTGAATTGTTGATAATCTAGATAAAAATGTGTTATGTGTATTAGTCTGCATTATTATTGCCTATCGCATAGGAGAGTTGTAAAAGCTAAGATTGGCTGTTCTTTTAAAGTTACAAAATGTATTGCCAAAAGTTGGAGATACAACACATTATCAACAAATCTCTATTACTTTGAATCTAATACATTTTCAATCAGAAATATCACCTTTGAGTTCTTTAAAGTAAATTTTTGTGCATGAAAGTAATTCAATAAGCATGAGAAAATGATTTGTTTGTCATTACCAATAAAAATTAATGTAAGCAACAACAAGATAATGTTATAAAATTCAAAGATTATGTGTTCATTAAAGCATGTGTGTCATGGTATAATGCATTTTTGTCTCACACCCATACATGTAATTTCATCTTTGATTATTCAATTTTTATTCTAAAATATTACTACATTAATATTTAACATTAATATTTGGCATTGCAAAAGGTGTCTCTCATGCCACCACAATTTGCTCCACCACATGTCACTATGTATATTTTATTCATTCTTGTCAAGTTACCAATTTGGATTTAAAACAGTTAATCCATATTGAAACATATTTAATGATTTAAGTTTTTCAACTTCCAATTACATATTCTCTACAATACATGAATTTATGTGTTTAGATTGTATTTTTTGTGAGAAATATAAAATACTCATATTATTAAGGTAACTGACAAAACCAAACTTTTACATTTTGTGAATTAAAAATGTATTATGTAGATAAAAGTACATGTAATGCCAGCAAAGAAATATTTAAAAATAATACTAATTGAATCTGTTGACAATAGATCGAAGTTTTTCAGTTGTGAATGGTTACATCTTGGATTATCCTGTTACAATCATAAATTATAATTCTTCTCCTTAGTCCAAAATAATAAATTAAAATAGTACATAATAATCAATAGACATGGAGAAAAACACATCTTGCAAACCGATTCTAATCATTTAAAAAAACAAGATTCTATTCACCAAAAAGATTTGATTAGATTTTTTTATTTTTTTATCTTTTTTTGGAGTGGACTGTTAGACAATAACATTACTTCGCATTTTCAAGGAATATTTAGCAGGGCTTATCATGCAAGAATGAGATAATTTTTCCCAAAGGCAACAACTAATTTCGAACATTATACAATCTTGTTCGTTGCCAAACCTGAATTCAGATCGCAAACTTTTTAGATAACGAGAGTACATATTTAATTATTTCAATTATACTGCCCAAGACCTTGAAAAATGCAGCTGAAACTATGAACACAGGCTGAAGAGTCAACTGTTTTCAGTAACTCACAGCCACAAGTTGCTGGGTAATTACCACATTTGGCAGCAGAAACCAGGACAAGTTAAACATGTCAAGCTACCTCAAGTAGCATCACTCAAAACTTCACGCGAACACACCATTGTCCACATCTTAACCGGTCCAAGAGTCAGATCCTTCTGATCAAGACGGCACCATGGCCATCTGTGATTATTTAAGAGTACAAGGCCTTCAAATCGTCCGCGAAAGCCTTCCTTACTGCCTCTCTTTTGAGCTTCATTGCTGCAGTGACCAGACCACTTTCAGGAGTCCAAGGCTCCGAGAGCAGCTTTATCTTCGTTGGAATCTCAAACCTTTCCAGCTTTCCATTTTTGGCCACCTGCCAAAACAGTGATGGAGATGATGAGTCCAATACTATTTTAAAACGTGTTCAAGAGTTTTGCTGCACACCCCAGTAAAGAAACATACACGATTTCTATTCAATAAATAAGTAGCAAGAAAAATTGAGTTGCTTACCTGGTTTAATGAGGAGAGGACTTCTTTGCATGCTTCTGGTTTTGAACACAAGTTGCCAAAATCGGAGTGATCAACACTTGCTTTCTTAGCCCAAGCTTCGAGCGCAGCTTGGTTTGCCACTACTAATGCAACACAGTTGCTATGGAATGGATCGGCATGAATCATAACGTTATCTACGTATTGAGAGCCTGAAAGCACTGACTCCACCTGCAATACGTTTGAAACAAAAGATTAGGCTTCCCTATTGCCAAACAAAATGCTGGAAAAATGATGCGTATCGCATTTGGTAGGAGGGCGGAGTTAAGACAATGGAGATTGTAAAAGATATCTGCAGGCATACCTTGCCAAGTGACACATATTCACCAGCTTGCAATTTTACGATGTCTTTCTTGCGGTCAATGATCTCAACACAACCATCCTCGTGAAACTGTCCAATGTCGCCTGTGTAGAACCATCGCGTGTCCCTTTCATCCACCTTCAACAAGGCCAAGACAAAGAACTGTTATGACATAACTATCCAACATAACTGTAGAGAACAGTAGAAACTTCATCCACGTTCGTCTTAAAATGATTTTATTTGAGAGTAATAAATCGCCGCGTGTCAACGAACTAGAACCTTTAGTGAAATAAACATTTGGAATAAAAAAAACACCTTAAAGTCTTGGTCTGTCTTTTCTTGATTCTTGAAGTACCCCAATGTTACACTAGGTCCACCAATCACGATCTCCCCCCTTGGTGGATCATCTGTGGTCTTGTAGTTGCCCTCCTCCCAGTTTACGAGCTGCAAAGTCAACATTGAACTTAAATCTCAAATGAACAATGCACGAAATTATTAAATTTACAATAGTCGGAAACAAGAAAGCATATCGCACAAGTGTCTACAGTAGAGTATTTTTCACGTTCACTGTAACTGTTCCCCGCATAGTAATAATAATCATAATAGTAATAATAAATTCAAGACTCCTAAGGCTCGAAAGTTAAAATTTTATAAAAATGCACCTTGACATAGCAGTGCGGTACAGGAGGTCCAACACGTCCAACAGAAGTGTCATCCCATTCACTAAACGTCGCACCAGCACAAGTCTCGGTCAAGCCATAACCCTGGCCAATCGGAGCTCTGTTGAAAAATTACTCACTTCGTCAACTTAAGATGAACACATCAACTCGTCAAAAGTCCATATCAACACATGCATAGTAAGGGAAGCTAAGACTGATATCCTTACTATAATGAAAATTGTAAAAAGAAACCATTCACTGTATGAAAAAAAGTCTCGGATAATGTCTTGGTCAAATTCTACTGATAGCACCAACAATGTGACATGAACATATTTGAGTCGACCATTAGCAATACAGACATAGATGTTTATTTTTGATATTTACAGCTTCACATCATAATTATTCCACACTGCTTCTAAATTTGGACCTGAAGATCGCCCAAAATAGAACTCTTAGTGAGCTGCTTACTCGCTCACAAGCCAATTTGAATAATAAAAATCACATTAATAAATTTACCACAATTTAAATGAAGTAATTTAGTGTGAATTTACTTCAATTCTTAGCTAAAAAATACATTTACTCTACAAGTACACACTGACATATACAGACTATACCCACCCATAAAAGCAAAAACAAAAACAAAGCTAAAAAATAGATCAAGACTGCATCAAAAAACCAACGCACAAGCTGTATATTTCAAATAAAACACTTATGTCAAAATATGATCGAGACTTGAGCTGGCCAAGGAGTGAAAACTATTACCCGAAGCAGACATTGATGAAACGCTGAGTATCCGGAGATAGTGGAGCACCTCCAGAGAGCATTCCCCTAACGCTCCCGCCAAAAAGAGCTCTGATCTTCTTAAAAACCAAAGTGTCCCAGAGCACCTTCTCTGCACCCCATGCTCCAAACCAGTTTCCTTCAATAGCCATAACTCTGCGCTTGTAAGCAATATCAAAAAGAGTCTTCACAGCGCCACCTGCACCGTCCACCTTTATCCATATGCCATTATCACGCGTCAATACAAGGACTCTTCGATTCAATTTGCGAATTGCAAGAAATGACATCTTGATACTAGCTCTGAAAACTCGTATTTTAAACAGAACAAATACCTCCGAACCATAATCACGTTAAACAAAACACACGCACGCAAATATAGATATATATATATATATATATACACGCACGCAAATATAGATATATATATATATATATATACACGCACGCAAATATAGATATATATATATATATATATATATATATATATTGGTGTGTGTGTGTGTGTGTGATGCTCATACATTAAAGATGTCTTTGCAACATCAAAAAAGAATCTACTCTCAATAAAAATAAAAAAAATAAAAAAATAACGACTTCTGAGTTAAATTTTTTTGGGAGGGTTCTAGTAAATAGTACCAAGATTATAATTTAGGCCATGGCATGTACCTTTTTCAGAACCCCATCCCGTACTTTGTCAAGAATCGCGGGGACAGCAGTCATTAAAGTGGGTCCCAACTCAGGTGCATCTCCTTTGGTACCTTTCTTGATCTTATTTGAAGTATCAATTAGAGTATGGGGTGAACCATAACCGATGGACGCTCCAGTTCCAATCATTGTTAACTGAAAAGAAAACACTGTTTTTTAGAATTGAGAAATCTTGAATAATCAATACATAAACACTAGAAGTATAGACACCATTGGCTCAAAAACTGTACCTCAGCAGCAAGTTCTAGCACATGAGCGAGAGGCAAGTACGCCAAGTAACAATCGTTGCTCGACAAAGCAGGAATCACCGTCGAGACTCCGGCTACAGTCGCAACGAGGTTTCCATGCGACATCATCACTCCCTGTCATTACAACATCATTCAGTACAATAGGACTTTTAGAAAATACGTGATACCGAAGTGAATGAACATAAGAATCATGACAACCAATGTGAATACCAATGTAAGCTACAGATCAGTAAACTTGCTCACATTCAAATCCAACCGCGGAGTTGGAATACATTCTAAAATGGTTACAATTGGCACAAGTCATGTGTAATAAGCTAAACAAATATGTAGTTCAATTTCACTTCAAAGTTATGAACAATAGAAGCGAAAACATCTAGCGCAATAAAGACAGGTCAGGAGTTGAATTTGAACCTATCCACTTTGACAATAACTAGTTACACATTCAAAGTCATGTGGACTTTACCTTCGGCATTCCCGTACTTCCACTAGTGTACATAATTACAGCAACATCCTTAGGTTTTGGCATGTCAGCAGGTATCTTCGATTCCTGCCCTTTCTTTTCCACAGACGAGAAGCTTTCAACTGTCCAGTTGGATACGTCTGATAATGACGGTGGTGAATCGTCCCCAATGGCGTCCATGTACACAACACGCTTAACAGTCTCAAACTGGTCGCTCATGGATATAAGCTTCTTCAATTGCTTGTCGTCACAGATAACGGTGACAGCTTCGGTCTGCAACCATTTATCTTTTCACTTTCGAAGAATGTACAAACCATCCCAGTTCATTCATAAAACTGTTATATAGGCAAAAACTTGAAATTCAAAAACTTCTGAAGGATCCTAACAGTCATGACTTCAGCAGTAAATTTAGACATGAGGGCTTTTAGACAAAATTAAAAAAGAAAACATAATTGATCTTCAAAACTCCACACATACCTCGTTCAAACAGTGCGCAAGAGCATCTAATCCCAATGAAGCATAGACTGTGACAACTTGAAAGTTTTGCCGAAAGCATGCCTGAACAAACGTCCAACCAATGCAATAAGATCAGAACTAGAATCTTAAAAATTGAAGTGTCACTGAACAGATTTTCAATTCTTTTGAACTGTACTTGCTGCAACATAAAAAAAGGAGAGTATTGACGATTATCCATTGCTATGATTCGACAACAGTAAGTACGCAGCCAAATCGCACAACAGCCTTACCTCAGCACCAAGAAGCCATTCAGCTCGAGTTTCAGCAAACATAGCGACCCTTTCCCCTTTCTTATGACCAAGTGCCACAAGACCTGACGCAAAGTTTTCTACTCGAGTTAGAGCCTGTGAGTACGTTATCCAGACATATTTGCCGAGCGTAAGCTTCTCAAATGACCGCCCGTCGCCACTGGATTCAAATTCCTTCTTAATGAGTTGGCGTGTTCCAAGGAATTTTTTGTCTGCATAACGATGACAGCATTGCTCGAATAAAGCAGCCAAAGTGTCGGCACCTTCCCAAGGTGTTTCCACCAACCTAAGAAACCTCTGGTTGCGCTTCGCAAGCCCGGGCTCTCCTCCCACATCACATTCAACAGCTCGCACCTTCGGTTTCCTTTTTGCTTTTGACATCACCAGAGAGAGGATGAAAGGCACAAGGAGTCCAACTGTAAGAGTAGCAGTCAATACATTGTTTCCCAGCGGCAGCATGCTATTTTGCGCAGGAGGGAGAGCAACTATCCCATCTGGGTTAGTCAATTCTTCGAGAGGGGGTAGCTCCGATACCTCCGCGGCTGCCATTCAGAAGAAGCCTTGAAAGCAGTAGAAGAAGCCTTGATATAAGATATACCCGCACCTATCCATTAAAGCAACATTGTGAGTGAATGCAGCCATGAGAAACAGAATTAGAGAAGAATAAAACACATCAGGAGCATGAATTAACTAAGAAATGCGAGATGGTTGTTAGGCATTATGTACTCATATACCTAATACCACCAACAACAGTATAGAAATGAAAACATTTGAAAAAGGACATACACTATTCATCATTCTCCAAATACGCTCCTAACCAAGCCCCTCTTGTTATATGGAAGTGTTGACAAAACAACTAGAACATTAAACTACAATATTCTCCATAATGTGAAATTATAGATTTATTTCAAGTCAACAAACTTGGCAAATGGCAAACTAGACAGGCCCGCTCCATACTGTCGGGAGTCTGCCGCTCATCCTGACTTTCCAGAATCTCTATTTTTTTCTACGAATTCATAGTGCACAAAGCCAGACCCTAAACCCCTTGAGCATTTGATAAAAGCCATAGTCCCTCATTCGAACCTCATTCGCTTGCACTCAATGAAACAATCACAAAATTCCAAGTCACAGTAGAATAAAGTGCGATTAATACATCTGTTTTGCCGATCAGGAAATTTAAATTTTTAATTTAACCAAAACACACACACACACACACACACACACACACATACACACAGGGGCGTCACAAGAGCTATTAGCAATCCTCAAGACAAAGACAAAGAGAATCATGGGAATTTCCACAGGAGACGTTATTTTCCGCAGGACTTCGTATTAGGAATTGGAGTGTGGATATAAGTAAAATCACATAAAATAAGGAGAAGCAATATGAATTCCTTAAGTCATCAATTGCGGAAGCAACAAATCTCCCCGATTGAAGAGCGCACACATGTGAAGCTAGGAAGACCTAGACCATATTGGTCAATTACGTTATCCTGAAAATTGTGTTCCAGGATTTGCGAAAATGCTTGGACCAAAAGTCTACTTATTTCAGAAATAAATACATCTAAGATATAATAAAGTACAATAATGAATCGGAATTTCGGTCATGTACTGACATACCTGAAAAGCACAGCAGGAACGAAAAAGGAATAACGATGTCAACTAAAAAACAAAAATAATAATCAAAGGATTAAATAGTCTTGATTGAGACTGAGGTCTAGTGAACTGACCACAGCTTTCTCGTGAGACAATATACCCTCAAAAAGATCAAACCGTGTATAATTCTACGTCTTCCATCGCACACTGAACTGAGTACGGTGGCGGATAGAAAAAGCAAACACAGCATGCCACGAGAACGGATCACAGGACAACAACCTAACACGCGCCCCCGGAACATTGCTCTCAATTATCCACAAACAGGGTTCAAAATTCATGGCCCGATAGAGGCAGCTAATTATCTTTCAACTTCTTGAAGTGAGTGAAAGACGTACGACCTGCCAACTCAATAAACAAGGTGCTAAAGGTGGTACCCCAACTGACTCCAACGCCCACAACAAGACTGACCACACATTGTCCGACTCAAAGAATCACAATCCCCACCCAAATACAGCTGACAAGCTACCAAAACCCGAAGATCCACACCTCGCTTATCACTTAGTCAACCCCCGAAGAAAGGTAGAAATAAAAACAAACACTCCGACACAAGGAATCCATAGCGAAAACCGAAAAACACAATAACACTTCACACCCCGAAGTCTTCGCATCCGCAATGGTCAACCCCAAAGCAGCAACACAAACTGCACGAAGCAAACAAAGAAAGAAAGAAAGAAAAAAAAAAAAACGCAAATCGCAAATCGCAAATCGCGATCAAACCCACAACCCACACGATCCAAACAAACGGAGCGACCCATCACAAAACCCAATTCCGAGTCCAAGAGCAGAAATTTTACCTCTACAACACACACTCCAACAAGAGCATCAATCGAAGCACAGACAGAGGATCACAGGTGGAACAACAATGTGTAAGCAAAAGGGCCGCAAAACTACTGGGTGGGTACGGCGAGAGGGATACGAACCAGTGAGACTGCGGTGATCAGCTTTATGATAGGAGCAGTATCACCATCATCTGGGGGGTTATTATTGATGCGCTTGCTTGATGGGTTAACAGCAATGCATGCATACGAATCAGAGAAGAACACGATTGCGGTGGACTCGACGGGATTCGCAACATCTGGCGTTCATTCGGCGAGCTCCACTCCGACCCTGCTCTGCAACTCCCCTGCTGCTCTCGCTTTCTGGCCTTGTTCTTCGCTGCGGGGCAGGCCGCGTTCCTCCTTTTCATCCATCCATATATTCGCTTATTCATCTACACGGTGGTAGGGTGGGTGGGTTGGGCCGAGCCGGGCCGGGTCCAGGTGCTTGGTCTCCGGCCCACCATTAAAGCATGGGGTGTGCTTTTGGGCTGCGTGGAGAGTATTTGCGTGGATTTTTTTGTTGATTTTTCATTCGCCTGAATTGGGGGGGAAGAGATGGGGACGTGGGATTTATCTTCACTTTGTGGAGTTAGGTGACGGAAGAAAATAAAATAAATAAAAACCTAACTTCATCCACGTGTATCATCCATTTTTTTTGTAGTTGAATAGGGGATTTTGAAAGGTGGGAAACATGACCAGTGGAAAACGTATGAACATTGTGTGTAAGGTGAGCATAATGTGCCTAAAATAATAATAATAATCATAATAAAAGAGGTCTTTTGGGGGAGTGGGGAACTCAATTCTCTCAAAACTATTTAGATAAACAGTTTTTAAAAAGTTCGTTTTGGGAGCCATTTATTAATTTTATTTGAAGTTGTAATATAGAAATAATAGATTGTCATTGGAAGTGTAAATAGGAGTATCAATAGGGCCTAGTAGTTTTTGGTAGGATGACAACTATTCTTGTATCTTGTAAACTAATGTCACCAAGTACATGTTCATCTCAGAAGGTTAAAGATTGTGGGGAGCACAAAATTCTTGTGTTGAGTATTAGGTTTGGAACCTTAAAACAAAAAATAAGAGTTAGAAACCATTGTGTGTACAGAAGGTTAGAGCCTAAATTTGGTTTTAGTCCTAAGTTTAAACAATAGCTCCAGTTTTTTATGGAGATAAATACATCAAAATCTAATGCAACATGAAGTGAAAATTAGTGCCACAAAGAAAACAAATAAACCCAACCCTACAACAATAGATTTAGTTGTATTTGATACAATAAACTTGCTTAGAGAAAATTTTGGAAAAAATAAAAATTAGTGTTAAGATCAGAACCAAGTTTTTGAATGTTTCTGTTGAGCATGAGTTTTGTGGTGGAATCTGCAATGTGAATCCTTGATTAGTAGTTTTTCGTTTTTGATGAAATCGACAAAGTGTTAAATAGTTAGGCAAATCTTTTTAAGTGTTAAATAGTTAGGCAAATTGTTTCCCCCTGCATTTCATTTGTTTTCACGTTGTCTCTTCATGCACGTCTGACTAAAGTGCACAGCTTGATGCAGTCTGAATTTCAATCGGGAGCATGATTTATCACTCACGGACACTTTTCACTATGACCAAGTGCTCATGTTCAGCAGCTGTGATACTTGGGGTGAGCTGACACAAGGATTCCGTCACCTTGACAGTAATTGTGCACAACGAAGCTCGAGGTCAAGAGATTCAGCAATAAAATGGAGAATGGGTTTGGAGCTCAGCCTCACCATGACGTATTCGTCATCAGTGTTGGTGGAGCGTTTCAGGTTAAGGACACTGATGAATAGATCAGAGCACCTTTTCAGAGAACTCTTCCTGATCTTAAGGTCTCAGCTTGATTAAGCTCAGGGGTAAAAGTCACGCATGTCAGTCAATCTGATCAACAAAATATCGCAGCCTTGAACGCCAGGCAGAGGTTAGTGAGGACGAGGAGCACTTCTAGTTTCCGGACGCAGCCGTAACACAAGTAAGAGGTTGTAGGCAGAAACCTACTGCCGTGTGGTACATATGATTTTGTATGATTTCTGGGGGGGGGGGAGGGACAACACGCGATTCGAGATCGACCGCGACTGAGGCACGGTCCTAACGAGCCCGACACCGCACGTTCATTATATGCGAATTGTAATGATTTATCTACAAAGAACTAAAATTCTAAGTCTGTAAATGGGAAGCAAAAAGATGAAAATGTTAATATAAAGATGAGAACATAGAATGGAAGTTAAAAATCTTTGAACGCTCTGTGCATTAATTTTGTGGAACGTTATTACCAGTAATCACCGCAAGAGCACTCACCATTCTTGAAGTGATGGAACCGATGAGCATCTCTAGCAATGATCTCACGCTTGGTAATTTTCGAGATAAACTTCGTAGCAGTGTGACAGTCGGTACACACTCGAAGATTCTTGGAGATGCGAATTGGAGTTCCAGGAGGCGTACTGATGAGTCCATACGCAATCGCAAGTTTCTCACTGTGATGACAAACAGCTCGTTCCTTGCCTTCGTCATCTAAATCGTGCATGACAAACCGAGTGTCAGGCACATATCCCAAGCTTTTCATCTGCTTCTTCAAGGTCTCCAGCTCTGCATATATCTCTTGAGTTCTTGGATGTGATTGATCTCTCGCCACAAAAGAATGTACTTCACCTGCAATCTCAATCCAGCTGCGACCAGGCTCCTTCTTCACGCCTCTCTCTTTCATGAATTTCCTAAGTTTGGCCACATCACGCCACATGCCAGCAGCGGCATAGATGGCTGAGAGAGACACGTATAACCCGGCGTTTTGGGGCTCAAGCTTCAGACAGTGCTCTGCAGCTCGCTCCCCAATCTCAACATTACAATGGATTCGGCAAGCTGCAAGCAAAGCTCCCCACATTGCAGCACTTGGTTTAAGAGGTATGGTCAGAATTACGTCCTCTGCTTCCCTCAGATGCCCTGCACGGGCGAGAATGTCCACCATGCACGCGTAGTGCTTCTCAGTTGGGACGATTCCATAATCCTTGCTCATGAACGCGAATTGACGACGACCTTCCTCCACTAGATTGCAAACACGGCAGGCAGACAGGACATTCACAAACGTAGCTGCGTTTGGTCTCATCCCTTCCGACTTCATCACCTCATATCTTTGTAAGGCCTCTAGGCCTCTACCATTTTGTCCAAGACCTCCAATCAATGTATTCCACGTAACAACATCTCTCATACTCATGCCCTCAAAAACCCTGATTGCATCCTCTACGCTACCGCACTTAAAATACATGCTCATCAAGGCATTTGTCACTGCTAAGTCGGCTAGTAATCCAGCTTTTACAACTTCCGCGTGAATCTCCTTGCCCCATTTCAAAGCCACTGGATTCGAACATGCCTTAAGAACACACATGTACGTGATTTTGTTTGCCTTCACACCTTGTTGCAGCATTTGCTTGAAGGTCGTAAAGGACTCCACCACTTGGTCACAGTCAGCGTATCGTCCAAGCAATGTGGTCCAACTCACAACATCTCGCTTCGGCATTCTGTCAAAAACTTGGCGGGCGTCCTTCATACTTCCCGCTTTAGAGTACATGTTAATAAGAGCATTCCCAAATCTCACATCTGACACAAGCCCGTCTTTCGCAGCACGCGCGTGAATCTCCTTACCCCGTGCCAACCCCCCAGGCCGCGCACAAGCACTGAGAACGGTCGTGTATGTTGCCCTATCAGGCGCTACACCTTCTTCCAGCATCCTATGGAACGTGCCGTGCGCCTCTTCCAATTGACCACTGTCAACAAAACCCCTGATCATTGTGTTCCACGCAATCACATCTCGATACGAAAGGCACTCGAATACTTCACGAGCATCCTTGAAAGCACCACATTTCATATACATCTTCGTAAGAGCAGTGCTAACTCGCACATCGGAATGGTACTCAGACTCGACGATGTGAGCGTGGATCTGTTTGCCTTTTTCTAAAGCTGCAAGGCTGCCACACGCACTCAAGACATTCATATAAGTGATCCTACTAGGCCGCACTCTTTCTTGCAGCATTGCGTGATATGTTTTCAGGGATTCTTCACCATATCCGCTCTCTGCATATGCACCGGTCAATGTAGTCCAGGATACCTCATCTCGACTCGCCATGGCGTCAAAGACACGGCGGGCGTCTCGTACGCTCCCACATTTCGCATACATACTAATGAGGGCGTTTCCAACCGTAGTATCATTTGCCAATCCAGCCTCCATGACACGAACGTGGATCTCTCTGCCCCAGTTCAAAACCGCAGGACTGGAACAAGCAGAGAGAATGCTTACAAAGGTGAACTTGTCTGGCTCCAAGCGTTCTTGCTGCATGAGAGTAAAGAGGTTGAAGGCTTCTTGGGCAAGGCCACGATGCGCATAACCTGAAATCATTACGTTCCACGAAACAACAGACTTGTTGGAAAATTTGTCGAAGAGTTGCCGTGCTTCATTGACGCTACCACAATGTGCGTACAGCTTCAGAAGAGTGTTGGTGATGTAAACGTTGGGCTTCACGCCACAACGGAGGATGTGTTCATGTACCTGCTTTCCTACTGCCAGGTCTTTGGCCTTCACGCAGCTCTGCAACAATTTCACGTAATCATAGGAATCCACTTGAGGACCTTTCCGATGGAGGTATTGCAGTACATCTGCTGGAGCATACCAGCCATCCTTGCCGGTGGGGATCATCGAAGTCTTGTCCAGTCGACTCCATCTCGAAATTAGAAGCAACGCAGCGGTGGTGATCGACCTCCTACTGACATTGCCTTCTTTGATAAACCACCTGTTCCAAAATTTACATAATACTCATCAAATCCCTAATCAGGTCATCCTTTGTCAACTAAAAGCTGAGGTTTCTGCAAAACCCCGCCTAAAGTTTGAAGCCCGTAAAGAATGCTTCTACGAAACAAGTACTGAGCGCTCGGCCATTACAAGATTCCTCGTTCTAGTTAATATGCCATCTACTTCGAAAAGGACTCGTGTATGAGGGCTCAAGTAGTTCCTCAGTGGAGTTTCTGAAACAATCATGAGTTGGCTGCGAATCAGTTTCATCTGCAGAAGGTATATCATGCACGAAACAAGCAACCTTTCAGTTCTTTTTACCCACCTCCTCAACATCATCGTGCAGCCACTTAATTGCAAGAAGGGCGATTACTTCTCCACATCGATCTCTCCTCCATTAGTTAACCTTGAAAGTCTTGAAAGTCTAATGCCAGGAATTGCACGATCCAAAGCACCCCATATGAGAAAACTCTCTCGGTGAATTGCAACTGCAATCCGCAGATGACCCTCGCCAGAAATACAGTGTGATTCTTGTCATTAGGTCAAGCGACTAAAAATCCAAAGTCACCTCCGCCAACGAAGCCGATTCGAGAATCCTAAGTTCGTTTCAGGTCCTGATAGAAATCACAGAAAATATCCTGAATGAAGTAAAGAAGGTGATGCACACATTTCCTTACACGAAAAGCAAAATCCTTGACTTCCAGTGTAGAAATTGCTCATTAGCTGCGACACACTGTCTTTCAGAAAGAGTCAAATGAAGTGCAAAAAACCCTAAATTCCTGCAACAAAAATAAATAAATAAATAAATAAAAATACACCTACAGCATCCATTAAGCCAATGGATTGGCAAACCGCAGTCTGTTTTCACGAACACATCTCTGCGATCGCTCTGATTGTTCAATAGTTTCTAGAATTTCTTCAAGTACAGGAAGTCTCTCTCATTTTCGAGAGACCAAACAGAGAGCAATTGCACGCCATTCTGCAACATCTAGAATGACAGCAGATTGACCTAATAAAGTGAAAAAAAACGAGCGTCTCAGGCCCCTTGCGGATGAGACTGAAGTTATTCATTCGGAACTGGCACTCACAAGATTGGCATTCACGAAGACAAGCTTGTGAGGTGTAAAATGAATGGAAGTGAATGTTATTGAGTTTGTAAGGTATGAAATTTACGATAAGACAATAAAAAGTTGCGTTTTCGGTGAAGAAGAGTTTCGTTAAAGAAGTCCATTAGTATGTATTTCGTTGAACAATATTTAAGAATAATTATAGTGGATTTTTTTTTGTTTCAATAGAGAATGATGAAAAATTTTAATTTAATAGGTTGTGATTAGAATTTAGATTTTGTGACAGTCCAGTTGTTGATTAAAAGTTACAATAGATAGTAACATAATATAATATTAAGGATATGAATTTAAAAAGATTTGTGAAAATACGATTTATACATAAATATAAATCAAGAGAATGTAGATTACAAAAAAAATAAAAATAGAATAGCTATGCTATACATATACATATAAATGGGTATTGAAGACTCTTGAACTAAGATTAGAATACAAAAAACATATTGACAAGATTGAGGATGGCCTCACTAGTGCCTTCATAGAGACTTGCTAAAAAGAAAAAGAAAATCTTAGAAAAGTTATCATAACCACAATGGATATTTATGGATTAAATCTGTCTTTAGAAATCTTCTTTGATATATTTTTTAAAAATTATTATGTAATTGATCCATTTCTATTTACTTTTGTATACTTCTACTTGTTCAGATAATATAAGTATTTGTGAATTATAATTTTTTTTGTAGAATTTGTTTCTAAAAAGGTTTTTAAGAAGATACACGTCTTTCTTGAAGATTTTAATTTTAATTCCAAAGCTATAAAAGTTGCAAGATTTTAAGTTTGCAGAAATTAAACTTGAGATGCTTTAAATATTTTTTCTCTATCTTGTTAAAACACAATCTACTATATATATATATATATATATATAATGATTAAATTAATTTTATATATTTTGTACCACCATATTATTGCTATCAAAGTTTGCTATTTGATTTGTTTCCAAATTTATTATTATAAAAAATCAAATCAAATCAAAAATAAAAATTTGATTTCCATTATTAAAATCCATGGAGAATATTGTCAAAAAATTGATACTATATGGGATTTTTATAATGTTAAAAGTTAATATAATATAAATTAAAAGTCTATAATATTGATAAATATCATCAAAAAAGAAAGTTGTTTCTTCACCTACAATTATTGTAAAATGTATAAAATGTGCTCTTTTGATTATGCAATCTCTTGTCATAAGAATAGAGTTGTAAGAATTGGAAATTAGTAGATTTGTTATAAAATCCAATAAAATGTATGACTATGGTTGATTTGTAATAGGCTATAGTTTTAAAAAATCCATAAAATTGATATTGTAGATAATTTGTTTGAAATCAGGTATCACAAGATCACACAAAATCTTCAATAAATATCTATATTTGAGGTTATTTAAAATAAATATAATTAACATCCAAATTGTATTTTATCTAAAATATCTTAAGGTTGAAAAGTCACAGTATACTTAGAAGGCACAAATTCCAACTTGACCTTCTAAAACATTTAAACATCTTTTAAAATACAGGAAGTAGTCCTTAAAATCAAATTTACTTAAAATATAGTAAAATTTCTTTTTAATTGTAAGAACAAAACAATTTATTGATATGATTTAACATATGCCATAAAAGACATGGTAGCAATTGGAATTGTCAACTTTATAGCTCATAGATATAATTGCTCCTATTTCAAAAGTGTAGCTTATTTCTAATCATAACAATAATAAATTGGTGTTAGATAAAAATGTCAACCTAAAGCATTGGATAAGTTTTATTGATTAGTGTGAAGCATACACTACAAGCACCCTTCAGATAATGACAAAGTTAAATCTTTTCTGAGAATATATATATATATATATATATATATATATATATATATTCTCAAAACAATTAATCTTTGATATTGTCTCAAAAGCCCTATGTATAAAGATAATTTAGTGTGATTAATATTGTGCTAATAAACAAATCTAAAACTTATTTAAAAAGCCTTACACAATATTTACATGTAAAAACTACTTGTAATATTCATTAAGTATTTCAGGTATATAGTAATAACAAATAACAAAACTAATTAACAAAAACATATCAACTCATATTAATAATTGAAAACATGGAAGGCACTGTATGAACAAAATAGTTTTCTATGCAATCAAAGTAGTCGAGTCATTTAATAGAGACTAATATTCAACAGCAATAGCAATTTTTACAGCATCAAAACTTTACTGAGAAGAGAGTTGCAGAACCATTTTGGAATAATAAATACATTAGTAACAACAAGAATTGTTAAAATTTTCACAAGAAAAATGATGAAACTTAACACCTCTATTGATCATGATCATGACTACACCCCTGAGTCATTCTTACATGAATGCGATCATCTCTAATTAAAAGTCTCACAACCACATTAATGGTCATAATCCGGTTGATCCAACTTTCATCACATGCACCGCTAGAGACATTCCAGACCATAGAACATAATTTAATGCTGTGATCCAGTGCCACCAAAGACATATCAAAGCGCACAAGTGGATGTGGAGATCAATCGAATAAGACGAGTTCCCACTTTGAGTAGAAGAAAAGTGTGATTGATTTACAGCAACTACATTAAAGAGAGACAGACCATTACTTTTAAGCCTCAAGAGATATACTAAATCAGAACACAACAAAGGCAACGTACACCTTTGTATCCTTTGCCATGACTGTCCAACTATGCAGGAAGCTGTAAAATATCTGCAATTCGTTAAAATATTGTACAAGAGGCTTACAGTAGACTTCCAAAAGCGTAGGTAATATTCCAGTGATGATCTTCAACTTTCAAATTGATTTCAGTCTTTATCCATCACTTCAGCTTCTATATCAACAATAACTCCAGCTGGATCTATATCTGCACCAGTAATCAGAAGAATTAGGCAGATTTTAAAATGATTTTTTTTTTTTTTTTTTTCATTTGCATGGAAGGAATGAGCTAAAAAGCCATGAGGAATACCCGAGGAAGGATCGGAAGCAGATGTTTTACGTTGACCAGAACCTCCAAAGGCCCCTCCAAAGCCTGGCTGTCCTGAGGGTTCTCGGAAACCCTTAGCCTTTCCATAGAAGCGAGGCCCATCTCGTACAAATTGCTTGCCTTCCACTGTCTTATGGGAAGTGTATGATTAGTATTCTGCCAGACTTTGTTTCGGACATGATTAAAAAATAACTCACGAGTCTGTGTAAGGACACTATCCCCTAAACAATCAAATGCGCCTCGAAGTTTTGTATGTGAAGTTCTAATGCATTTCAATAATATATGAAAAGGTATTCTCCCAAACTAAAATAAAAGGTAAAGGTTTTAGTCTATACATTTAAAGGGTTGGCTACAATAGGGGCAAAACTGTTCTTCTTCTTCTTTCATCGTAAATCTGCACCCCAATGAGCCACCACTTCATAAGAAAAAAACCTAATGAAGACTTTATATATAACACACCATCCCAAATTTGATCTCTCTTCAAAACCTCAAAGAGACTCTCCATTACCAATCGAAATTATCTGAAAAGAAGAGCATGGAGCAAAAATCGGACATGTAATATTCCGCGCAGCTATAACAGATGAAAATATAAAATTCTAATTACTCGAGTCGAGTTCAAAGTATGTGATTTTGAGGGCCTAATTTATGCTTCCAACCCAGCTTCCTCGTAAGTCAAAGACATACAGAAAAAGCAGGTGATGTGCAAGAGTTACTTACTCCAAAACTTGGAAAGGATTTCCGCAATTTGGGCACTGCACGTACAACCAGTAAGGACTTGTCAGACAAGATAAGTGATCACGAATTTTGAGGGATGTTTAGAGAAAGATATTTAGAGAAAATGTTTCAGGAGAGCATTCAGAGGCATGCAATATACGTCGTAAAAGGCCTCTTATACAACACGCTTCTCACATTTCTAACAACACACTCCATTGCAGAATAAAGTATCACATCTTCAATCCCAATTCAGGTTTTACATAAAGATAGAAGCTCACACTGCTGCTGACAATTTCCCTGTCAGCAAACCATAAGAAGGCTACAAAGCCCACGATTGGCACCAACACAACGAAAAGCTGCTCCGCAAACAACCAACACAAAGCCTGATCAGAACCTTACAACGGTAAAACTACAACCATGTGTACTCCAATTAGCGTTTCTGTAGCTCATAAAATCACCCCCAATGAATTTACTATTAAGTGTGAATGTATTACAAGATGCACCCTCCTAGCTATTAACATGTAAGCAGCGTATGAAGGTGCATTGAGATCAATGAAGGATGATCTACTATGCTTCCGCTCTCGTAAACACCCCCTAATTCTCAAGCTGCATTTTAGTACATTGGAAATATTGTATACACTGTTTCAAATATTAGAAAATGTGAACTTACCCAGAGAGAAACAAAGGCATCAAACAACCAACCAAGCTTTCCAGTGATGGTCAAATACGTCAGACCACCAGCAATCGCCAAGTTGACGACCACACGGCCTATCCCATTCTCTCCGTCAGGTTTTCCCCCACCGGGATCCAGCCTCATAGAAGCTCTCGCAATGCCTCCATTTCTATTGTGCTTCCTTCCCCTAGGTTGCGATTTCCATTTGCTTGATATCCTCACTCCATCATACATGCAACTTTTTATACCTAATCCTTGAATTTCTTCCCGTGCCGTATGTAGATTACAACTCCTGCTCCGGATTGAGGTGGTTCTTTCTCCAGAAACATAGTTAGTGGAGGGACCAGCGTCTGCATAGACTCGCATCCAGCTAGAACTGCTTGCAATCCTCTGGACAAACCTCGACGCATGCGTTGGTAATAATATGCATCGGAATTGCTGAATAGCGACCATCTGAGAGGCCATGACTTTATGAGAGTAACAGCGCCCCTGATCCCTAGAATTCAACGGACTTACAGTCGTAACCCTAAACAGCAAATCCATGACCTGCCTGCATATGAAGGCTCGGCAAAATATTGATCGAAGGGATATTAATCCTACAGGCGGGCATTCATCTACATAACAATATTCAAACCGTAAAGCTGTGACTAAACACACTCCTGCGCTTGGCTGTCCACACAACGTCCGTTCGCCAACCCTATTTCATGTAAAAAAGAATTCCCATCCTTGACGAACGCTTCCAGGTTTACAAAATATTCGATATTGATGACGATGTGCGTTTAAGAGAAAATGAACAGAGTCCAAATCCTTCCTTCAGCTCAATTGAAAACTAACAATAGCGCTTCGAAACCACTTGAACTCCTCACAATTTCGAGCAGATGAAGAAGACGACACTCGGAATCGAAATGTAACCCGCGCAAGATCCTTCACATGCCACAGGTACATCACAAATGAAGAACTGCCCGCAGGTCACCGCATGCAAATTCTCCGAATCCCAAAAACCCAACTCCAGTAAACGGTACCCTCCAATAAAAACAATAAAAACACAACCTACAGCAACTAAAGAAGCAGACACAACACCAAACAAGGACACTTCAGTAGCTTTCGCTGACGGAATACACCCAGTGAACAATTCCGCTACCACACTGACACTGCACCTTTTCCCAGCCGAGTGGCCTAGTTCCAATGCCCTCAACACCTGATCATGCTACAGCATCAATGCAACGATATCCAAAATCCTGACACTTACAGGAAAGGCCGGACCCAGCTGAATGACAGTCCGAGCCTTGGAGATTTTCCGGACATCGAGTGCACATTCAGCGATGGTCTAATGGGAGGAGCTGATGAGGCGATTGCGAGAACGGTGCTCGCACATTATACTGGATAAGGCTATACGAGTGGAGTAATTTGTATTCGCCCCCACTTTCCCTACAATCCGCGACATGTGTAGGCTTAAGGGATATCACTCGCGACGCCTTTTTCCAGCGGGGCACTATGCATCCGCCGGGTCTTGGACATGGACAAGTGATAAAGTGCTCACCGGGTGGCCGCAGTAGAGCTTCACGCGGAGGATCCACCAGTGCATCAGCAGCAACATCGGATTGTTGGCTGCGAGGAGCCCACATTGCAAATTGCGCATCCGCTGCGAGAAGGAGGAGCAAGAGGAGGAGCTCAAGGGGGGCGAGAATTCCAATGTTGGATGAGCGTTTTCAAAGATGCGTTTATCCCCCCACCCTCAGCTTTCAAACTTGGGGTCCTGCCTTGAAGAGGATGCCCATCCTGGTGGAAGTTCTTTCCTCTTCATTCTAATTAGTTCAGATGAGACGACGATGGATCTAAGAAATTATTCTTAAGAATGATATAATGCTACCAAGCCTTTCTACTTGAGCTTTTACCAAAAAATAATATTTGTTGCAAGGGTGAGAGTTTGAAGGATAGTTGGTTGTATGAAACACAAGGAAGGAAAGTGTTTAGTAATTGTTTGTTTTAAATAGAAGTCTTGGGTTTTTTTTTTTTTTTTTTTTTTTTTTTTTTTTTGATTGAAACTTCAGGGCAGTTCAGAAAAAGGCTGAGAATATTTTTCTAATCTCTATTATACCATTTCATTTATTAACAATTTAATATGTATATTTAAAAATAATAAAAACATTATTGACCTTTTATTTATCATATTAATCTTTTAATATATATATATGTATATATAAAAGAATGCTATGTATATATATATATATATATATATTAAAAGATTAATATATTATGTATATAGCATTCTTTTTTACTTAAGGAATGTGTTAGTAGAGTGTCATTATTGTTTTAATGAAACATCACCTCCTAATATTCACATAAAAGTAAATAAAGACTTTCTTTTCTTATCAAATGCAAATATTAATTGTTAAATCCATCACCTCTCTTATTGCAATCTATTGAATTTTATACAATTATTAAAAAAGTTTTAGGAACATGGCATATACAAACATTATATATAGCAACATGGTTATAATTCTCACACTTTTTATACTTTGGATTGATGCCCTTATCTACCAATTTGAATCCAAAAGGGTCTCTATATATTGAATTCCCAAAGAATTGTTACTACTTAGCTTCTTAGTTGGATTGGTTTCAAGATTTTATGAAATCGTGAAAAAATCCTAAACAAATCTAAGAAAATTCCAAGTAAATCCAAACCAATTCTTATAATTGTTTTAAAATCTCACAAACTGTTAATTAAACTATTGATCTCAATTAAAATTTCACTCACATTTCAATCCACAAGTAAATGATAGGCATACAAAATTTGATGAAAATCTAATTTATGAATTGAGAGAAAAAACTCCTAAAACTCTTAGATGTTGGCTGCCCTCTTTCTCCAACCTAGATGTTGATATTTCAGCAAAAACATTTCCTTGTTAAACCATTCAATTGCTTTGAAGATTGACAAAGATACCTAAGTCAAAAGTATTCTCACCAAATTTTGCTTCAATAAAACCAGCAATTTTTTTAGAATTGAAAAAACCTTTATTAATCCTAAATTTTAAATGTCAAAGATCTCAATCCAATAAAAATTTCATATGCTTCAATCTAACTATTTAATTAATGTCAAATTTTTCAAACACATTTAAGACAAGTACAATGACAAATTCACAAAATTTAGTTTATAAATTTATTACAATACTCACATAATCCTTAAAGTTATAAATTTCTTTTTATTTCTTAAAATCCAAAACTACTAAGTATAACTTTTACTTTGAAAAGACCTAAAAAACTCAATATATATTCAAATCACTTGAAACTAATGCCTAAACAATCTTTCCAAAGATTTCTTATTAATTATATTTTTTAATTAGCAATAGAATTCCAAAATTATAGTAGGTATATAGTTTTGTGACTCAAGATTTGATTTTGATTCAAATCCATAACTAATCCTTTTTGAATATTAATTTTTAGTTTTTTATAATAATTTTTACTAAAAAATATTTGTAACTCTTTCATAGATATTTCTATATTATTTATTTATTTATTTATTTATTTTTTATGCACTTTGATTTTTTTCATTTATAGTCTTTCATAATTAATAGAAGATTTTTATACAAAAAAATAACATTGATACTTATTAAGTTTTACTACCTACTTGTCTATTATCTATATTTTTAAGGTAATTTGCTATAATATTTTTTTATTGAAGCTCATCTATAATATAATTTTTTTTTAAATATTTCATCTCATAGCAGTATTATAATATAACACTAAAGTCTATGATGATCTATCTTGTATTTTATAAATGTCTATCAAATCATACAAGATAATAGATATACCAAAAAGAAGTAAAATGTCACTTCTTCTTATAAAAATAGACAATAATCCTTTGACAATGTTTCAAATATTTTTTTAAAAAAGAATTATAAAGGCTTCAACAATGATTTAATATTAAGGGGGTCTTTTTACCTTGGTATGAGATACTATCGATGACTAATAAGACCTATCAAATACCTTCAAAGAGAACAATAATTAGAGTATACAATAAATATAATTTTTCATATTTTAGAATTTTTCATCATATAATTATTTCTCTTTGTAAAATATATTCCTAAAAAAATAAATGATATCACAAATATATTTTTATTTAAATAAGAAATATTAAATAAAATATAAATATAATTATATTTAATAATATCTTATAAAAAAACTTTTTTAAAGTTTCACAAGCTTAGATTTGACTTTAAATGTATAACATGGCATGGATAGGATATTTATATTATTTGTACATAAGGATATGTAGTTGGAATCATTTTTGGGAAGTTTCTAGAATTGAGATTAAAATAGTAGTTTATATAGAATCCACCATAGAACCTTCTAAAAAAACTTAAGATAGTTATCTTCATAAGGCCTATTATTAAAAATATTCTAAAAGGTTCTAGGATAGTTGAAAAAAGTATAAACATGACTGACTGAGGCTATTTGGACATTTAGTCAAATATGGCTTCAAACTCTTTCTTTCAATAAAGTTTGGTTTTCTTATTCTATTCTATTTGATTCTATTTGATTCTATTCTCTTTTACTTAGTCTTGTCTTTCAAGTTCCATTCTGTTTAGTTACTTTCAATTTTATTTTCATATTCTTGGTCTTACGTTGAGTCCAGATCTTTATTATTATGGATTTGGTAAGATTTTAGATCTTAGAAAATTCGGTCTTATTCTATTGGTATCATAGCAAATATTAGTCTGTTCTTTGATAGTATATTGATAGCCACCATTTAGTTGAAAGTAAATTGTGAAAATCACATTGGATACTATTTGCAGCTATAATGAATTACTTTAAGAAATTAGCTTAAAAGAAAGAAGGCATTATAATAGCAAAGTTCAAGAAAAAAATTACAACATGGGAGACATAGCAAAGTAATCCTAAATAGAGACTCAAATACAATACGTCTTACAATAGATGGCTACTTTGCAAGGACAAATAAAAGCTTCCAAGACAAGGGAGTTGATATCTGCTAGGCTAAAATTGAACAAATTCGATATATATTCAAGGACCTCAAGGCAAGAAGATGTATATTAATAACTATTCAACATATGACAATACCTCTAATTATTTGAGGCAAATACCAGCAAAGGAATTATATATGCCTCTAGTTATTTGAGAGATATAACAGCCATTTGGTGGTAATATTGAGCTCAAAGCTATGAAGCTTAAGATAGATTATGTGGCTTGGAGGAGTTTGAGACTGAGCTTAAGAGTCAATTTTGACCCACCAATGGAAGAAAGTTAGCACACGATAAGTTGGCTAATCTTACATAATATAGATCAATGGAAGATTATATCTCTCGGTTCAAGTCCCTATGTCTTAAATTTGACAACATTTTAGAGACAGAGATAATAGATTGGCTTGTATAAGGATTAAAACTTGTGGTCTATCTAAAAGTGAAATTAAGGGATCTACAAATATTTAAAGAGGCAATTAGGATTGTAAAGATGGTCGATACTATAGATTTCAAAAATCATGGAGTACAATCTATAACATGGAGTTTTATGCCACTAGCTAATAGTATAGTGCAACAATCAATGTCAATAGAGATTGATGCTTTACAAGGATCATTGATACCATAGAGACAACAAATATTAGCGCAAAAGGAATTGTACTTTTATTATTAAGAATTAGACCATCAGATCAAAGATTGTCTAAAACATCAAAGTTCAAGCATCAACAAATGATGGCATGTTCATAATCTTGATGGCCATCAAATTAATGAAGAAATAGAGTAGAAAAATGGAACTCCTCAATAAAGGCATCAAATACCAATGTTGGAGATATTTGTTATTTTCTTGAGACAAATGGCATGGCCTTGGACAATTATCAAAGAAGTCGACTAATGTGTCTAATGGGTCATTTAAATAGACAGCCATGTCGAGTACTTGTAGATTATGGCTCTACAAAAAATTACAACTTGATCGTAATTGCCAACCGACTTGGGATTAAAACAAAGGTGATCAAAAGAGGGAGTATATATCTAGTAGATGACTAAAAAAATATATTTACCTAAATACATTGTCAAGATAGAAAGAGTTTGCCTCAAGAAAGCACTGGGCTCTTAGATGCCATTAATTACTCAATCAAGTCTTGATATAAGAAAGACCAAGTTTGTATATATATAGGAGCAATTACACCAAATATATAAGTCTTAAGTTCCCAAAAACACCCAAAATATGATTAAAAACTCTAAATCCTTATATATCCTTATGGGGTATTATTCTTGAACTTCAACAACTTATATCTTATAATTGGATTGTTCAAATATACTCAAATTTTATATAAAGTACTGATGTATTTTTAAAAACTACCACAATAAATTTCAACTATAAATTCATCACACATCTTAAGATATGACTAAAATCCTAACACTAGCT